AACAGCTTGTTTCAAACTTGTTACAACAAACTGGGAACAAGCAATGTGAAGACAACTTGTTGACAGCTTGTGAACAGAATTGTAACAGCTTGTTTGCAGACTTCTGAGAGCTTGTGCGTTTTTACGTGTGTAGGTGAACTCAGCGTACACATGTAAAAATGCACAAGTTGTAACAAACCTGCAGCAGACTTGTAGCAATGCGCTACAACAACTTGTCAACAGGATGTGTTCGCACTGCTTGTTTGCAGCTTGTTGTCAAGTTGTCAACGGCTTGTTGACAACTTGCTACAAGGTTGTCGAATTCAACAGACTTGTTACAAGTTGTTCCAACAGCAATTCAACAATTTGTCGACAAGTTGTGAGTGACAAGCCTGTAGCAACTTGATAAAATAACAGAATTTTTACAACTTGTTGACAAGCTTGCTACATGTTTGTTGCGAACACGTCTTGATGACAAGTTGTGAGATTTTTACGTGTGTAGATCTCAGCATTTTCTTTACAGGTGGAGTTTCATATCCGATTCCGTTTCTCCATCAATAATATTGATACAAGAGGATGAAGGTACACCTTCTTTGTCCATATGCTGACAACGCTGTTGAGCTCGGTTGATTATACTGCTATTTGTGAATGCCGAGTAACAAGAGAAATTTGCATCGATATTTTCGACCGTGCTACTTCCATGCTGTCGCTAACAAATTGCAAACTTCTCTGAGCAACATTGCGTTCTTCCCCGTCTAGCGTTAGCCAAATTCTACTACAATCTAAAAATTTTTTATACGAAACCACACTAAAACTTGTAAGTGGGCCTTTTTCCCATAAAAATGAATTAAACATGAATCAGAAGACGCCATGTTTACAAATGCTAAGCTGGAAACTTCATGTAAGAATGAGCATGAGCCCGCGAAAATCGCCATTTATAGTGTTTATTACACCAAGTATCCAGAACAAAAATGGCGGCGATCGATTGCGAAAAATGTCTGTTTCTTCAATTTTCGAAGACGAAATACTCGAAAACTGCAGGTTTTGGGAAGTGCAAACAAGCGGATTTGGACTTTGTATAATTTATCCTAATTATTTATCTTGTTTCAAAGAAGTGCCCGAACACGGGCAACGGAATTCGTTTTCTAAGCGACTTTTCGTGCCACAGAATACGGCCTACTATACCTCTAAATATCCGGTCTGACCTATCTAACGAAGACTTCGAATGCCTATGGACTATTTTCCGGCCGAAATGGCTACATCGATCGATATCAAGAATTGCGGTTGCATGCGTTTATATTCCTCCATCTATAGATCAGAAGAACTTGAACAGGTTTTATGAGTACTTTTGTTATTGTTATGATATGTTGAAATCAGAAAGCCCAAATACGTCAATTATAGCTGCTGGTGATTTTAACCCTGCAAGCAATGTTCAGCACGAAGATTATTAATAGACAATGCCACCTGAAAAAAGTCGTCAAAAAACCTACTAGAAATACAGCAATTCTTGACCTTATTTTGACGGGCATTCATAAATTCTATCAAGTCCCACTTGTATTAGCCCCAATTGGTACCTCAGACCACTGTACAATTATATGGTCATCACAAGAACAAATGAAGCACAAGCAAAAGTCAAAACAAGGACAAATGTAAGACCGCTGAAATCCTCGTCACAACAAGCCTTTGAGCAGTAAGTATATCCAGGGACGCCGGAACTGGGGGGCAGGAGGGGCAGCCGCCCCCGTTGCCCTTTATCAGGAGGGGCAAGCGGGGGGGGGGGACAAAGGTGCCCTTTCAATTTAAAGAATTGCCTTGGCGAAATAGCGAATTGTCAGAAATGTTAGTGCAATTCCTTTACGAATTTGCTTCAGAAAACGCAAGAAATGCAGTCATCGAGCTTCAAGAATAGCACAATCCTGGCGGAGAACCCCCTCACACCCCTATCATCCAATAAATAGAAAACATGATTAGGCGAAGTTCAACTCCCGATGTTTTGCAAACATCTCTTAGTATATATCAATTCAAAAGTGCCCTTTCACGAAAATCTGCCCCCCTTGCCTTCACATCGTTTCGGCGTCCCTGAGTATATCAGTGAATATAACTGGTCACCCGTGTTGAATGCTTCTTGTATAAACGATAAAGTCAGCAAGTTTTTAGAAATAACAACAGAAATGGTCGATGCATTCTTCCCTTTAAAGTCAGTCAAAATCCAAGTTGACGACAAACCTTTTATAAATGGAAGAATTAAACAATTGATACAGAAACGAGATAAGGCATACCAACTTGGAAGAGTCGATCAATCCAAGGTATTGCGGAACTTAATTGTTGCAGAGATTAGAAAAGCCAAGCGCGTATTCTATGAACAAAATATTGAACCCTTTCATAACCAAAACTCAAAGAAATGGTGGGAAAATGTAAAACGCATTGTTGGACTGAATAAAAGACAGAACTTTGACTTATCAGACCCTCTATCAGACGCCCCAATGAACGATAAGCAAACCGCCGATTACATGAACAGTTTCTTCACGAGTTTGACCAAAGAATATCCTAAAGTAAAAGATCAGGATTATCTGCCCTGGAAAGGACTACAATGAAGCCTTAATAGAAAGTAAACTGATACCACTAAAAGAACGAAGAAAGCATCGGTGTATTGACCTTGTCAGAAATATGGTTCAACCCACTCATAATTTAACAAATATTGGTAAAATGTCACGCTTTTTACTTGTTGTCCTTTCATAGTCCGGCGTAAAATCGTGCTAGGAAATTATCGAGTTCCAAGTCTGTCATGTTGTCCAAACACGTTACACCAGTGCACGAAGCAAAGGAATTCATGCGATTAACAGCGTGTTTTATTTGTTTCTTTGTATTTGCACCATCAGAATTGTCTATAAGTTCGAACATATGTTCTTCGGTAACCAAAACAAAAGGTTTACTGCAAGCTCCCGCCATTTTGACGAGTCGTATTTGCATTAAATCCCATTTACTGAGTTTCGAACATCGGGTTAAAATAAACTGCTATCACCGTACGAGAAGCATTTTTACGGATGCGATTTATCGAAAACACAAAGAGTGCAATGGAATAAAACATATAGTACAATTGCACGCGCAAGAGTTCAATGGAACGTATTCCATTATATTGCACTCTTGGGAAATGGAATTTTCTATTCAATATCACGTGACCATAAACAGCCAATTAAACGATCAGAATTCAATTAGGTTTTATATAAATGTGATTAATAAATCATTACCATTACCACAAGGTCAAAATCAATGTACAAATCAAAACAAAATGTAATTACTGACACTATCTGACAAACGTGTGGCCCACTCAAATGTTTACACAAATAGCTAATTTAATAAAAAAGAAGAGACTTTTAATAATAAATATTAAAGCCCAGCAAAGTGCTTTTAAAAGAGCCATAAACCATTAAATTTAAAATTTTATTAAAGATTTAGTAACGTTTCGTCTTAACTCAAGACATCTTCAGACTATAGTATATATTAAATTACAAGCTGTAAGAGTAATTAAGCATAAAGTAAAGTTATCATAGCAATATTAATTTACAAGCGAATACGAGGTACACAAAACGTAAGGATAAGAAAGGATAATGGAGGGAAGTGATGGACAAAAATGAGAACAGACAAATTAGACGACAACACAAACAGACAAAACATAAAAAAAAGGAGATCAGAATACGTGAAGAGGAATTGAACTGCCTTGAACGTTGAGAGAGGGTTTCATTTTAGAGATAAAAAAGCTTTCATGAATAAGGAGTTCTTGTTCATCTGAACAAAAGGAGAGGATTTCGAAGTCGTCAATAGAAGCAGCGTGGCCTGTGGATGTGAGAAAATGCTGGACTGGGGAGGATTTTTACATTGTTTGCCAGTGATAGGAGTGATACCCAGGTGTTCCGAAACTCGGGTGTGTAGATGGCGCGTGGTTTGACCCACATACGATGCGGAACAGCATCGACACGTAAAAGAGTACACTACACCCGACCTCAGAGCTTTGGGTATTTTGTCCTTAAAAGAGAAAAAGGTTGAGAACCGTTTAGTTGATCGAAAGAAAAATCTTATATCAAGATGTGGGAAAGCAGCACGACAAAGACGGTTGATTTGCGTGCGAATTTGCAAGGAGTGAGTGCCCGTAAAAGGGAGACAGAAATAAATTATTTTCTTAGGAGCAGTATGAACAGGTAGCTTAGGTTGAAATACTTTATTAAGAAACGTTCTAACACATCGGTCGAACATATGAGAAGGGAAACCATTTAAGATAAACATTCTACGTGCTGCTTCAAGTTGGTGATGGAAAGTCTCATAGCTAGAACAAATGCTAAAGATGCGGTGTATTAAGCAAGATATTATGCTGTATGTAAGTGGAATGAAGCTATGGAAGTTGGTAAAAAGACCAGTAAACGTAGGTTTACGGTAAACAGAAGTAGAAAATTTTCCATTGGAACGGGATATGTCAATGTCAAGAAATGGGAGCTTACCATCACGTTCAACCTCACTAGTGAAGCGAATGTTGGTGTGCTGGCGATTAAGATATGTGAGAAAGAGCTGTACATGCTCTGAGCAACGGAAAAGTAGGAAACAATCGTCAACATATCGTCTATAGAGAAGTAGTTTGAAAGACGAAGGACAGTTGTGAAGCCAATCCTTTTCGTGAAAGGACATAAATATGTTAGCAAACAAAGGTCCTAAAGGACTACCCATAGCTACGCCGTCAACTTGATGATATAAACGACCATTGAACACGAAATGACAATTTTTGACAGAAAGACTTAAAGTGCTTATGAAACGAAATTTTCGATTTTAATTTTTTTGTCTGTTCTGGTAGTATTTTGTGCGCTGAGCACAATGCGCTTGTTATTTTTTTATGTTTTTGGACATAAGCACCCCTTTTCAGCGTTTAAAAATTTGCATTTTTTGAGAAAAAGGCATCCGGAGTCTGGGCCCGAGTCGTGACGTCACTGATTAGAGTCGTGCTTGAACAACAACAGAAATTTATAGTAAAGTAGCTTGTTTTTAAACCAGAAAAATGTCTGATGTGTCTTCAGAATCCGATAATTCTGATCAGGTATCCGTTGGCAGCGTCAGTAGTGAACGATACAGTTCAAGCGATAGCGATGAGTACAAGTTTGAAGACAATTTCTTGCCTTATCAAGACGAGCCCTTGGCCAGCTCTAGTGACGACCAAACAGAAGAATTAAGCGATGAAGAACTCGATGAAGACGGGATTTCTCGACCTGTCTTAGAGCAACGATACGAAAAACAAATCCCACTTCAACAGTGGTAAGGATTTCATATTTTGCTGGTGAAAAATCTTCATCTCAAGCGATAAAATACTCAGGTTTTCTCATTGCTTTTTTTACTATAGGTGTACATGTGGTGGATGTGATGATTCGCTTCTTGTCGGCGCTCGTGAATTTCGATGCTGCAAGGAAATACTCGAAGCTACAGGGAAATTTACGTTCGAAGGGATGAATGCAGCATGTATTTTAAGCCACCATGACTTTGCTCCAATGACGAACCGAACAGTCCTGCTGCAAGTTGGACCTTTGCTAAGAGATAAGAGTGGGAAACGATACCAAAAGTCTGGCCATACAGAAAATGAGTAAGTGCCTGATTTTTCAATATAAAGTAATATTACTTATATTGATGCTACATAGATTATACTCTGTACATCACTACCATCTTTTGCAATCTTTTTCTTGATAGGTTTCTGCGAGCTGTTGCTTACAGATGGTTAGCAAGATGGCTGTTTGGGGAAATGGGATGGGAAAACACCAGACCTCTCTCTGCTTGCATATACCAAAAAATAAGGAAAACATTCGCCACAAGCAACACTGTTGGATACACTTCTGGTCAAGAAAGAGCAAGTGACCATTAAAGTTGGGGTATACTGTGACTGTATTTTAGGCCCTGTTTATATGAGACTGGGGCAACCGATGAAGTCTGACTGGGATGAAAATCAAGACCGATACTATCTTTCAATTTATTCCCCTTGCCCATCATTTTCTTACAGTGCTTTTGTGAGTATGCATTGTTCTGAAGCCAAGAGCACTGCCTAGATCAGTCTGAAATGTATTTGTGTTTACATTCACCCCACTCCAATTCATCGAGGCCTGAAGATAGTCAATTCAGCAAGCGGGATAGCTTCAGACCGGTCTGACCAATTTAATTTCGTCACAGCCTCATGTAGACATCTATTATAAATAATACTCTGGTCAAAATCAAATTTTCCCGGTTTGACTTCATCCCAGTCTAATGTAAACAAGGCCTTATTTTTAAATGACCTGTAGAACACTACTAAGGGCCTGTTTATATGGAAGCCGCCCAGCTGGCCCGCTTAGTGAGACAGGATGAATTTCTCTTGTGTTTACCGGGCTGTCTTGCTTAGCAGGCCAGCCCGGCTTCCATATAAACATATATGGGATCCAGGCCAGCTTGATAAGTGGCATGTATTCTGGCAAGAATAAATATTATCCTACTTGCTAGAATGATTAGGCAGTTAAAACAATAGCTAGCATTTTCCTATGAAAATATTTGTCTTAATTGTTTGTATGTCCAATTCACAAAGGAACTGTAGTGGCATGATAATATCTTGTTAAATAGTCACCCTACTCAATAGACCCTTCCAATGTTAGCAATGCTATAATTAAACACAATAGCTAGTGCAAGGGGTACAAACACAACAGAATTCCCTATATATAAATTTGCAAGGGGTGCAAACACAAGGGTGAAAATATTCAAATGGCATCTTTAACCTTGGAAGGGCCTATTGGCTGACCTGACTCCTTAATTTAGTTTCTATGATATGAATACAAATTGACCATCCAGCCTTGCATAAGCTTTGTTAAATGCATGAGCTTTGGTAATAAATAATGGTCTTTGTTTTTGATACCAGAAATAGAAAAATAAACAACATTTACAAATTGACATGAAGTTTATGTCACCTAGAAATAAAGAGCTAAAACATAGATTATATACAATCCAAAGTTTTGAAAGTATTTAATCTTGATCAGAGATTGTCAGCATCATTCGTTACTGTCTGGGGGTGCAGTTGCTGCATCAGGGCAGTGAGACCGAGGATGACCTTTCATCGGTTGCTTGCACTTTTTACAGCATCTTGTTTTTTTTTGTTTTGGTTGTTGTTGTGCCTGCTTCTCTTTTGCCATCTCCTCAGTTTGTATTTCACCTGCAAATTTGAATTGGATTTAGTATATGTATTGGCAGGGTGTTAGTGCATTTTAATTAATAAGAGAAAATTGAATACCTGATGGGAACAATTCTGCTACTTTTCGTTTCCGAGCACTATTCCTTGTGATAGCATCGTCCCGAGGAGTTTTATTTGTGAATGTACTGTTTAACGGTTCAGGGACCTTTCTCTTGTACTTCTTCTTGATCTTGTCTAGGTCATCTTCAGAGGTATTAAACATAACCTCCCTCATATCTTCTACATAGCCTATAAAGTAAAACATAAGAGAAATAACAAATTAGAGCATACTGTGTTTGAAAGGTATTGGATTAATTGTCATGTGACAAAAACAGATAGTCTGATTAGTCATTGTTTGATCAATGTTATTCAGTACAATATGTTCACAATTCAGACTTGAAAAAATTCTGGTTTCAAATTTGTAATTAGCCCATATGACCAAGATTACAAGATAATGCCTAAAGTAATGCCTTTACAAGTAAAATTGTCTAGTGTTACAGTTAGAGTAAAAAAGACAAAGTTGGGGGCTTTATGGGTTAACAAGACAGAAATTTTTACATCCAACATACCATATGTTGGCGGTACAGGGATATTTCGCACAACTTCCTCCCCAAATTTAAATTTTGGGTATGTCACGCTAACATAGTTCTTGCCATCTCTTGTTGTTTTTGTAGTCCGGTTCACATTCTCATTGAAGTGGAGGGTAGCAAGTATGTGCCTAAAGAGTAAAGATAAAAAAAAACAATACTAAATAACATTTCTACTTCAGGTTCAACTGAAAAGGCTATTTTCTAATTAGAGTATATTGTATTGGGGGGGGAGACATATTAGAAAAACATTACAGTACCTGCAATATGTCCCAAGCCATGAAAAGCAAATCATTTTTGGATGCCATTGATTCAGCGTGGAGTGAAATCCCTCCAATGAACTTGTTTGTGCATCAGGAGAGAGTTTCTTCAAACCGTTTAAAAAGGACTTCTTCATAATGATGCCCTGCAACTTGTCATAAGCCCTGGTTCCTACAATAGATATTCCCAAATGTCATTGTGCTACTGTCAGGGTCGTGCTGATTGGGGGGGGGGGGGGTTGTAACACTCATTTTACAAGCTATACAATAATGTTCTCTGTCCTCATACAGTATATACAGTAGTAGACATAATTTAGTTGTTCCCATACCAATTTTGATCCATTTTCGTTGACTTTCAAGTTCATCATGTGCACACTTTGGAAACAAGTTGTCCGGGTGATGGTCATGTTTATTTGCAACATGTCGCATGAAGGACTTCCATTTTGCCAGGATCATATTGCCAAAGCCTTTTACTGTAGATGTTGAACACCAGTAAACATGGTTCCTCACTGCTTTTGTCCATTCTCCAATTTGTTCACATCCCTTCTCTTTGCTTGCAGCCACCATTTTTTTTACAATGCCTTTGGCAATATGCCATTGATCAAAGAAATGCTGAATTGCTGGATGAGATTCTCTTATCCACTTTGTGATCCCGCGGTGCCGATCGGATATAAATACTGGGATTGTTAAGCCAGCAACAGTCAGCAAGAAATCAAAGCAACCCTTTGCCCCTTCCAATTCCATTGCATTACTGTTACCAGTCTGATTTGCCTGCAACATGCAGAATTTTGATTGACTCATGATGTTGGGATCTAATCATTGAAGAAAACATGTTCCGAGACCTCTTCAAACTGTTCAATGATGGCCATTCACTAATTATTAATATGTTTCAAATGTCAATTGTTTTACTGCCATCATTTGATTAAGTTTCTTTTCGACTTACAGTACCACTAAGATATAAACATGATGACATTGACTAGTGTGTGGGCAGATATGGAACAGTTTGAACTTGGAAGTGCCACAGAACATGCTTTATTAAAACTAAGGTATCAATTATAGAGTAAAGCCTAACGCTCAGTCACACTGCAGATTTCAGCAGGCATGACTGGCGCTCTGGCAATTGTGTCATTTTTGGTCAGCCTGATTTGGATACACTGTAAATCAATTTTCTTGTAGTGTAGTCAAACAACAGTGACATTTATATCTTTTTTGCATTCTGCCAAAACAGGAAACAACTGACAATTCATTGTGACATTTGTGTGGAAACGCTGTGGCTTTGCTTGGGAGTAACATGCAGTTTCCTTCTACAAATGCAATATATTTCATACTTACTTGTAGCAAATCGAAGTGAACAATTTTCATTATTGTGGTACAAAACATTGTATACACTCCGTATTTTGCAGAATGACCCATCGAATCAAACCTACCATCTCCACACCACACTGTGTCGGTGATAGTTTGAAGCGACTCAATCAACTTGGCCTGATATGATTCCCAGTGGTTTAGGATGGTAGGAAATATAAATTTGTTTTGGTGATAGAAGAAGGTCCGTGAGGTGTAGACAGCAAGTCCCATGTGTTTGAATACCAGAATGATTTTGCTGACTGAGGCACCAGCCATCAGTATTCCAAAGGAAAGCAACAGATTGCCAGCTGGATATCGTCCAAAAACATAGGGTTGGCTCCTCCATTTGAACGACTCCACACCACAAGCACTACAGTGTTGGACAACAGTAACCATGGTCCCATTTTGGTACATGTCCACTTTAGGTTTTTCTTTTTTGCAAGTAAAGCAGAACAAGGAAAATAGAGACAACAGCATGCTATGGAACACTATGAATTTGGGCTCGTCCTGGCACTTGACATGTGAAGGCAAACTATATAAAAAATAAATGAAAATTGATTGTTTTACTTGTGACCTGTGTATCTCAATTGTCTGGCAAAACTAGCAAGTGCAAAAGAGAAACAATGTAAGGAATTTTTCCACCCAATACATAATCAATATGCAATATTCTGTAATACCTTATTAAGTTTCTTGAATGGGGTATTGTATTTGGGATTTCTGCGTCATCTCCATCATTTCCAGCTTCCAGTATGTCCCAATCTGGATCTTGTTCCTCGCATATGCTTTCTTCGTCAGTGTCATAGTCTTGGACTTGATCTGCATTCTCATCTTTTCTAGCTGCGGCAGTCTTAGTTGTTCTATGGCTTGCCTCACTTGTCACCTCTTCCGCTTTGGTATTGGATTCTAGCTCCTAGAAAACGCAAAACAACACAAATAGGCCTAATGAAATATTTCTAACGAGATTTCTAATACTTCGCTTTTATATTACTGCGTTGTTTCGTTGTATCAACAATTGTTTACTTATCATGAAACATGACACGACTGTACTCTACCTTGAGCAGCTTTCGCCTGAGACCACGTTCTTGAAAAAGCTTTTTCCTCAAGCTAGCATTTCTCTCTTTACTTTTGCGCAGTCTTTCCTTGTATACATTCAGATCTTTCGACTTGTTTTCTGGAGTGGTAGGTGTGTTGATTGTCTCGTCCGGGAGGTCGACACTTGCAATATCGCTTGCGTTGACCAATAGGGCTGTCGAAGTCGAAGGAACGTCTGGCTTCAAAGTATCTCTCAAAGTCTAATATAAAACAACGTGAAAGAACAATATATCAAATAAATCTCGATATCAACATAGATTTTAACATCAACACAGAATTAAAAGTCAACACAGAACTCAATATCATTGAACGTTGAGGATAATATATAGACCGCTATTGAGTATATTTGCGAATTTACCTTTCGGTGTTCTCTGTCAGATATTTCGCAAGTTGTTTGAGAAGGTACCACAGTATCGACGGTCGGATACGCTTCCTTGTTAAGCCATCGTTTTGTTTTAGCGTTATTCACAATTTCCAACCCAATATCAAGCCGTTGAGTAAAACAATGACTTTCAAAATGGGCTGAACAAAGCGCGGAATATGCAGATGGCTGCCAGTCTGGGCGATGCTTTTGCACGAACTTTGTCCACAAATTTCTCAACCTTTCGTTCGATTTTGGAAAGAGATGCATAGATATTCCAGTGCATAGCGAATTATTTTTGCAACTCGCCTTTCCAGGGCCACCAGCAACGCAATATTTTCCCAGTTGTTTTGCTTTCTTTTGCGAACTTGAGTGCGAACCACTTGAAGATGCCATCTTTATCGAAGCTGACTCTAACCAGTGACGTCACAGGCCGCGTGCGCTCTCGGAAGCCTTTTTGTCGAAAATTGCATTTTTTGAAGTGAAAAATAAATACTTTCCAATCGGAATACGCAAAAATAAATAAGCTCATCGCATTCAGCTTCTCAAAAACTATTAAAATCAATAAAAAACTCATGATTGAAAATTTCGTTTCATAAGCACTTTAACCTTTAATCACATTTAATGTGGTGTTGAAACTGTGAAAAGGTACATGTCTTTACTCAACTTTAAGCAAAGGTGTTTTGTATATTTATTTAACCTTAAAACACATTTAATGTCGTACGAAAAGAACAGAAAAGAAACGTATATTGTCTATTTGACGTTTCCATTTGCCGTTTAAATACCTATAGTATTGTTTAACCATTAATGGTTAAACATTAATGGTTAAACAAACTATTCAAAATCGCAAATGCAAATGTCAAATAATAATAGTTACAGTTAAGCCATGTTTTAGATACTTTCCTTAATAAATTGTACGTGCAGGTAAGATGATCAATGAAACAAAAGTAATGCCATTCATATATCTCTCTGGCGTTTCCCAGATTTGAACGTAATAGCAAACAAGCTGCTCCAGTGGCGAGTTTAATAGCAAAGCAGGAAGTAGTGTCTCCAAAAACAAAAAAAATTTCAGCACACATCATTTTTTCTTCAATTTTATATTTACCATATCAATAACATAAAATCTGCCATGCAGAATAAATGCATATCGTATAAACAGTGTAAATTACGCAAACTCATAAATTTGATTATCAAATTATCACGTGCAGAATGAAAACCCACGAATAAAAACCTTTCAGTCTAACATTTCTATTTAGAATTTTGTATGAACCTGTTTAAGAAGCCATGCAGGTTCACAACAAATATATAAAGCACTCTTAATACATTAGAACATGGAAAACTTTGGGTGATATATCGTGGGTCTTTACTATACTGAAAAACTATAGCAATCAGAGTCATGATCATTTAAAATGTCATTAACAGAGTCATTCAGCGAAGAGCCACTAGGGATAATGACTGGGCACTCTCATCAACAACATTATCATCCTCGTTCTTAGCTGCCCACTCCGGGAAGTCGTTTGGCTTAGGTCGAATGGAGGGCTGTCCATCCTCGCGAGGAACAATTCTGCTCCGTACCAGTTCTGACAAAGACAAGGTGTGGAGCCTGTCTAACTTTTTCTTTGCCCTTCGTATAGAGATGGACTCTCCCAGGGTAGCCTACGAACGTTGTAACGCATGATCCTTTTTGTTGTTTCGTCGACCTCGCTTTCTTCTGATGACATGTACAGTAGCCTGCCCTCATAACATCGAACACTCTTGCAGTTTTCTGGGCACCCCAATTTGCCTTTCCCACGTGCTTCAGCCTGCGTGCAAGTCTCTAAAGAAAGATACAAAATAATAACAAATAAGCTTGACACTACTACAAGTTCTTGGAAAACTTATAGTACAAATGTTGACTATTGAGTTCACACAGTACAATTTTGTATCAAATGTTGATTTGATGATTGGATGACATTGCCTGGATGACTTTTCCTTCCACCGTATGCGCGTTGTTCAGACTCTGAAAGTTCTTTAAATTCTTCTTCATAATCATTTTACACACGATTTCCCTTTTCGTCGCAGGCGACATACAGTAGGTAATTGGGGGGGGGTGTTAGGTGGACTGCTTATGCATGCCACAACTTTGCTCACCAAGAAATCCGACTTTGGAAGCCTTACAGATTCATCCACGAAGTTATCGAGGCATTACAAGCAATGAGCATAAAAATGTCATTTACTGCATGTATTTAAATTTATACATTGCTCGGGGAGACAAAGCAAAAGGTAACTTTCAAATAGAGTGTCACAAATGTCACAAACACCCAAAGACGGATGTTTTAGATTGAGCGACCCCCTTGAAATACAAAGCTAAATTAATGCCTATCAAAATTAAATGCAGTGTTCTAAGTTCAAACCTCGAATCTTAAAAAATTGGTTATACTGTGTAAATTAATGCTAAAGCTGTTAACAGATCTTCAAAGTCTTTAATCCCTTGCTGTGTGTTAATGTTGGTGGAAAATTTAAACACGCAAAATAATTTGTTCTGGATGTTCACGAGAACTTGTACCAAATCATATGTAAAAACCGCGTAAACATTTTAAAAACCATGATGTTTGTGATGTTACTCTGAGTGTATATCCACACCAAGCAAGCTTGAAAAAAATATGCCTGACCACAGTGGGAATCGAACCTATGACCCTTGGAATACTAGCCCAATGCTCTGCCAACTGAGTTACGCAGTCAGGTCGGTTCGAGTAACACTACAGTATGTGATTTTCGGAAATGAGCCTAGTTACTTCGATAACAATGCAATCTAATAATCATGATTTTTTCTGTGTTTGTGTAATGTATTCAGGTGAATATGATGCTTGTGATGTCACTCTGAGTGTATATCCACACCGGGTAAGCTTGAAAAATATGCCCGGCCTCGGTTGGAATCGAACCTAGATGATCCTTGGAATACTAGCCCAATGCTCTGCCAACTGAGCTACGCAGTCAAGTTGGTTCGAGTATGTGATATTTCAGAACTGAATCTAGTTCTTTCGATATCAATGCAATCTAGTAATCATGATAGCTCAGTTGGCAAAGCATTGGGCATTCTAAGGTTGTAGCTTTGATTCCCATCCTGGCCAGGTCTATTTTTCAAACTTCCCGGGTGTGGTTATACACTCAGAGTATCATTGCACAAACATCATATTCACCTGAGTACATAACACCAACACAGAAAAAATCATTTTAAGGACCATTCTTTAAATACAGTGCACATGCAAAGGTTGTCACATGCAATAGTCAATTCTACAATCCAAAACGCAAATATTTTTGACAAAATGCAAGCAAATGCAGATAATATTGCTGGCATGTGATATTTGACTACTGCAATACAGCATTGCTTGTGACAACATCATAAGAATTAGCTGCATATTATACTCTTTCTATACTATGCTCAAAAGTCTTTAAATCAAATTTTGAGACATGTGCTATGTACAAGTACAGTACAATTGTCTAGCTTTAGTCATATATAGGACGATTCTCTGGTGTGAGCAAAACTAAAGTGATACCACTCTATAGACGTTGCTGTGTTGGGAGTTTTGTGACCCCCCAACATATATCGCCTGGTAATTAATTATTGAAAAATTGACAGAGTAAAGTACGGTAAAGTGATTCCCAGAATCCAGATACCACAGGAGTTACCGGTATAAGGTTTTAAAATATATCTATTGGGCCAAAAAAAATATGTGGGCTTCCGGTTTCCCGACCCTACCTACCTTTTGGACGTCGAAATCCCGACCCTAAACTTTTTTACTGGATCATGCTTGTAAGTGTTTCCACTTAGAGGAAAAAGTTCGTGGAAAATTGAAATTTGAGGCAATATTAGGGGAATTTATCTAATTTGGATGTGAAAGCACTGACTAAACAAAATGGCGTTTATTTGTTTGGAAAATTTAAAAAAAAGTTTAAAAAAAATTAAAACCGACCTACCCTACCTAAGTTTTTATAAGAAGAAACCGGAAACCCGCATATTTTTTTTGGCCTTGGGCAAGACAATTACAAATACCATAAATACTGTGTACACCATACCTTTTATTAAAACAGTTGTGGCCCTCCATACTCATGAGCCAGTTCCTTGGAAACCTTGGAACACAGCATGATAAAACAGAATATTTAGTATAGCTGTATAAGATGACTCATGTTTCATAAGTGTACACCTGCAACAGCGGCGTAGCTAGAACCGATAATTGGAAGGGTGGGGGGGGGGTTGTTTATTCATATATTCATGTTCATGTAGTGTAGCAACATTAACAATTACTTTCAAAAGAAATCCCTCAGGCAGAACACGAATATATGAATATACACCCCCAATGATCAGTCTAGCTACGGGCCTAGCTGGC